CCCCCCCTTCCCCACCCTTCCCGATAAATAATGACAAGACACTAATTATAAGTTCCATGGACGATAAACTACTATGAAGTTTGATTGATATTCAACTCTACTTTCATATAAAAAATATATTTTTTGGACTATTTATCTTCACCGTAATTTGGGAGTTGCATCAGAAAGCGAAGATTAGAGTCAATAATTAAACCAGCCTGGATCATCGATGACTGGACAGTACGTGTGGCTGGAATGTTATCCTCATGAAGTGAATAACATGTGATGTCACAATATTAACAACTTATTTCCTGATGAAAGAAATAACCTCCTCATTTACAACCATATACCTAGTTGTTTATATATAGATTACTTCATTGACATCTCCATCAATGTGGCTTTTCAAGGCTAGTGTTACTAACGAAGAAACAAATATGTCAGATAAACAGAAGATTGGTAAAAAATCCCAACTGCTTGGAGACAGGCTGCTCATCAGCTAAGGAGCTGAAATTGGGGAGCAACCGACAACAAATCCAGTGAGTGACAGGGTGGAACCTGGGACCAAGGAACTTTAAGTTCAGGGCTCTGTTCCCTTCTGTTCACTCGGCCACGCTTTATCAAGGCTCGATTTTTAGCTGCTGTCCAGGAGTTGAGGCCACGTTCCTCCCTTGTACTGAGGATGGTCTTAGAAAACGGTGAAAATCGAGCTTAAGCGGCCTCTTATTTATACATGAATTTCTGTTGTAGACAGTGCACTTGCTTACTTTGTCGTAAGAGTTTTAAGTTAACTTTTCACAGGAAAACTCTTCCGACCGCAGCAGCGTCATCTCTTTCAAAGACACTGATGATCTCTTTATTGCCACATCTACTCCTTCTGCTTCTCATATCTATAAAGATCCGAGATGATGGTCTAAGAAATCAGCGAAAATCTAGCAGCGTCACCTCTTTCAAAGACTCTGATGACATCTTTATTTCCATATATACTCCTTCTGCTTCTCATACTACTAACTGGATAGTTTTCAACTCAGTTTGAGCTAGAGTTTTGGTGCACTAAACAAGAGGAAAAAAGCAGTCTGACCAGCGGGGCCACTCAGTAAATACATTGCAAAAAAACAAAACAAAACAACTGTCAGACGAAGGCCAGCTTAAAAGCCATGTTTTTTTCCGATGTGTCTCAGTGGTGTCAAACAGATTTTTTTCCATATTTAGCGTTTCCTCCCTTTTTCGCATCCTTCATATATCGCCCTGCCCACATGAGTAAATTTATCGCAGAAGTGGCAGGGGCTCTGTTAAAAATACAGCCTTTGCTATATTTTCCGAGAAAGAGAATATCCAGTGTACTCTTGTCCCAACATCAATGACTGTTCAATTATTCAATTGAGATCGCTTGAATTTCTATTCATCCCTGTCCACCTGTCTCAAAAACGCTGTTGTTCTCTTTTCCAAAAATAACTCCAACTTAAGTGAAGATCACTTAACAGAGTAAATTACTTCCACAGCACTTGTTCTTGTCATCAATTCTAATCCCTACTTTATGATTTTCCATACAATCGTTGACATTAACTGTGATGGTCGAATCCCTGCGAACACGAATTTTTTAAGCACATTAATCCTGAAAGGGTGGGAACTTGCATGCGATATATTTCCACGAACTGAATGAGTTCGTTAAAACTTGGATCATTCTGTAAGCAGTAAGATTAAAAAACAAAATGCTCTCGAAAAAAACTGGACCTTGATTGTTTTGGAAGGAAATTAAGGCGAAACTGTAAGGTTTGAAAGCTATAAATTGCGATCGCCGCTTGACCAGTGGAGATGAATGACAGCTGTGAAACGGGTCATTGACGCAAGAGCATCAAATCGAATAATTGTCGTCAATTTTATGAATAGCATATTCTGTCTGCTCTCATCCCGTTTTTCATTGGGTCGCCTTTGGTGACAAAGTATACAAATGGCGTCCCAGTTAAATTCAATATTGACTTTGATTCAAATATGTCCTCGAGAGCTTAGAATTTCCCAGATCCTTTTTTGTCGGTGAGAACAGTGCACCTCCATTAACTAAGAAAATACGTTTTTTTGCTTGCTTTTCTTTTTGCTTAAAGCTCTAATTATATTTCTTGAAGTTATCTTCGTTTTTTTTTTTCTTTTTATACCACCCATCTCATAGGCCGATCTCGTAAGCTGCTGAATCAAGATGCGTGCATTGAATATCATAATTTAGTGTACCTTCCTATCAAAAAGTATACACACCGGTAGCTAGTTTTCTCGAAGCTTCAATCGCATGCGAACGTCAGCTGAGTGCTTGGCCGCGCGTGACAAGTGCGCCTGGGCAAGATCAAAGTTTGAAGATGGCGGTAAGATCGATGAAGAGAGCATCAACTTAAAGCTGGTTGAGTTTGTCCTGTTTTCAGCAGGATCATGAGTCTCATGAAACAAGTTAGCCTTCTTCCAGCTGGCTGTCAACCTTGGAACCTTGATGTTTGCGCGGCAAGTAGCAACGGTGATCGATTTGCCTATTGTGCGACTCTCGCTGTTTACGTTTACGAGGTGAGGCGTTAGTGTCGCTATAGGAATAAACAACCCGTAACAATATCAAACAATTTCTGTCCTTTAAAAACCTCATTTTCTCCGAATTCGATTTTCTTTTAATCCATAACATTTATGGTATGTAAGATTCGTCAACTGGCCGTCTATTGTTTGACTTGTCCTGCTTAATCAGAGGAATTGGAATTTTTTCGAACTTGTTTTCAATATAAACTTTAATTAAGCGTAGGTCTTGCCCAATAAGCAGTTGTGCAATTCCTTTTGAGAAATTTAAGTGATTGCTTAGAATTTCTCTTCTGCTCTGCAAACACTCATCTAGTGTTGATGTTCTTTTAAACTCTCCATTCTCTTGGTGTGTTTTCATGCGTTCAAAATTCTCAAGAGAGTATTCCGCAAATTATCTCGTTAACAAACTTCAGCAGTAGTGACCTTTTTGATTCGTCGATCTAAGTTTGTCCTGCCCAAATTTTCTCAAAAGCAAACGAGACAGATCGTGTATCTTTTTAATAAATGTGTCGCTAATTTAATCCTAAACTCGAGTCTGTCTATATTCAAATTAAAGACTAATGACTTTGACACTGGACAGCGTAATTTCGATTTTTACCCAGAATCTGTAGATTAAGGTTTAGCGTGATGTTACCTCAATGTTTCGAGAAACCTTAAAGCTTCTTATGATAATAATAAAAAAAATCTCTACTCTGGGGTTGTGGGATGCAAAGGAAAGTACATTGAAATTTTGTGAACAATGTTTGTCATGGCTGAAATGTTTTGTTTTGTCATAACTGTGCTTTTTCTTCGCCTCGCATTTGTCTGAGGCACGGAGAATGATTTTTTTCGAGTGTCTTGATTGATAATAACATATTGCAACTTAGCTACATATAAATTTAAAATTGTAGCTCTCGCTGCACTCTGATCATGGGAAAATCATGTTAAAAGGATGATCCAATTTGCACCACTTATAGTTGAATTTATTGCATAATTTTACAATGTCTCAGTTTATCATTTAATACTGAATAAAAGAGGAGCAAGGTGTTTCAAAATAAATGCTGCAACATTGGCAACCCATGCAAAATATATTACTACATGTAGAATTTTCACTCTCATCCTATCTTGCATATGTTTTTTTTTTTTTTTCCTTTTGCCCTTTCGCTCAGAGAAAAACAACAGCTGAATTCTTAGCACAATATCAATACATTGTGAAGTGAAGCGTAATGAGAAGATGGAAAACATATGCTCCTTAAAACCCTGACATCAGTATGTAAACTCTCCTTACTGTTCCCTATACATTTTCTAAGGTGCTGACAAGGAGAAGTGGTTTAAAATGCTCAAGTGTTTCTTTTTTGGGGGATCATTTCCTTTATTCTTGTC